ATAAATTGTTGAAAAACTTATTTTAATATTTGAGGCATAGGTTAGTTTTGATTAATATAAAAAACTAACAAAAATATTATGTAATAGGGTGTTTTGATGGTTTAATATTATTATTGGTTTTTTTTTGTGTGTTGGTTGTCTACAAGGCTGTTTATTATATCAAAGATAATATTATGGAAGAAACAACTTCTTATAATTTGACTTCTAACAATTTAAGTAGTCAGTTTATAGTTTGTTTTTGATGTTATACATTAAATCAACAATATGTTTAAACATTCTTCAATAATTATTAAGATTTCAATAAGTAACAGGTTGAGTTTTTTTTTTTTTTTTTTGACATTTATATAATAGCATTAACACTACTAAAATGAAACATTACTTTATTTCCTATTGCTTATATTTGTATTACATAAGATTATATAGTGATATATACTATGTGTTTATTATTTTTATACTTATTTCAATTCAAATTAATAAAGGCTTACTTCTATCTATCAAGTCTTTATATAATTTTTGATATAACTATAATAATTTATTTAAAAGTAGTTCAGCTAAAATTTTGTATATTTTATAAAACACTATTATTATCTCTTTTTATGTATCTAATCATTGCATTGTGAAGTTTTGACAGTTAATACTGAAAGAGTTGTTAATTAAAAAATGCATGTATATAAAAATATAAATATTTTTATTTCATATGTAATAATTGTATAACTTTTCAGTTTTTGATTATTATGTTTGAATTATTATTATTTAAATACAAAATAACAAAATAATATAAAATTTTTATAGAAACGATTAAATGTTATGAGTATTATCATTTTTTTTAATAAATTACATAATACCACAAAATTATTGCATGTTTATAATATTAACAAATTGGTATAGGTATAGTTTTAAAAAAATAAATTTTAATTGTATATTTATGATAATTTATTAACTTATCAATCAATTGAATAAAAATTCACCAATATAAATTGTTGGCTTAAATAACAAAGATAATATTAGATTTTCTCATTTGTTTAAATTTAAACTGTATTCAAATTAGAATTAAGAATCCAAGTTTCATAAAGTAAATTTAACATGAATTTATCGATTTTTGACTAATCAATAACTCTTATATTATGGTTTTCAAAATGGTAACTGCCTCATATTTGGCAACATGGTATGTTATTGCGTTTATTTTTATTTAATATTTATTTTATTAAGTCTATTACGAGGTTTATTATTTTTTAAATCGTAAAAATTAAATAATTTACTGTTTCATAACATGTACTTAATAGTTTTTCCTCCTAGATTGTGATTAATTTATCGTAATTTGTGTCGCTTTTTTTCATCTGTTTAAAAAATATAAACATTTAAACAAAAAAAAAAATCATAAATACATAAAATCATGTCATATTTATAAATCTAATTATAAATTGGTAAAATATTATGTGTTCTCGCAAACTAGAAAATAATTTAATATCAACTTTTGCGAATTTTTAATAATTACGACATTCAAATATACAATTTTAATTATTCCGTCCTTTTTTTAACACCCTAGTGTTATATTTTTACCATTCATTTATTAATACTATATCTCTAATCTTAATTAACTAAACGTTTTATAATTAAATGGAAAGATTTTAGATAATGAAGTCAGAAAGTTAAATTACTGAAACTGGCCATTTAACGAACATTTTAATGACAAATTTGGATTAAAGCATTATAGTTAATTATTATTTTATAGTTTCTAAATAATCAAGATTTTTATTAAATTATTATTATTGAGAAATTTAGTTGGTCAAATCAATTATGATTATATTGAGAAAAAAATTCATGATTTAGTGTTTTCTTGTTATAATATGACAAAAAAAAAAAAAAATCAATATTAAACTTGATATTAAAATATAATATATATTTAATGTAATAATTGGATAACTAGACAAAAAATGAATAATTTATACGCAAGATTCATTAGTGTAACGAGGTAATATTTTAAGTATACTTTAAAACATATCTTATAAGTCTAGATTTATCTATTATAATTGATAAAATAAGTAATTATTATAATAAAAAATAAATGATAGACATGTTTTACTGTTTTATAAATATTAAAGTGTTAATATTTAAACTAAAATTATTTACGATTTCAAAATATGGTTTAGGTATATATTTTTTGTGTAACTGAATTTTCTAAAATATTTTCAAGTATATATTTATTTATGAATAATTACGGTTTTAAACATTTAAACAAATTCGTTTCTATTTATTTCAGAATTATACATTATAAAATATCCTGAAAACAACATTTTTTATAATCAGTAAGAATTGTTTTGGTTTAAATCTCAAATTATACTTTGAAGTACTTTTTTAGTAACTACATTATATTTTATAAGCGTAAGAAAAAATACATAATCATAATTTTCTAATATATGAAATAATTCTAAGATAACTAATTAATAACCATATTTTAATGATTTTACGACAAATTTACCGACAGTCATATTATTTTTCTTGTTAATTTCTAAAAATAATAATATATGACATAATTGTTATTAGTATTTTCCAGGGAAGGTAAATGATATGGTATATAATATATATCGTACATAAATTACTTATAGTTATTAAGTTTGTATTATTAAATATTTAGTTTTGATAATGAGTGTAGGTTACAATACTTTTGAATTCGAAAAAAATAAGAAAATTATTATTTAATTATTTTTGTATGTAATTCATGTTTTTCTAACTGTCTAATAATATAATATTAATCTATTATGTAAATTTACGTTTTTATGAATTTTCATTAAGATTTGTAGGATATTGTTTTCTTTTAATAATAACATCATTTTAACAAACATTTTATATTTTTTTAAGTTTTACCTAAGTTGGCCACCAATTTAACATTTTGTTTGATTACTGATTATTATAGTTTGTATTTAATTAATGCATTTCTATTAAATCGGCATGTATGGTCAATTTAAGCAGCAGACATTTTATTTTTTCAATGGTGCATTAATTTCAATTAGTGATATACCATATTTCAGTTTGTTGGCCTTGGTTACGAAATACCTACTTATAACTATTAATGACGAAAAGCTTGTGATTATAAAATAATAACTTCAAAATTTTTAAAAAGAAATATAAAAATTAATCATGTTCTCAATATTATTAAAAATCTTATTGTTTTTAATGAATTTTTCAAATTATAATGCGTTCGTAATACGTAAAGTATGAAATGCAATTTTTTTATTCCTCTTTTATACCTAATATACGAATATACTTTTTGTAAATGCATTTAGTCTTGAATAAAATTGAAAATATTTATAATTTCTCTCGCTAATAATTTTTGCTTTCAAATATTAAATTAGGAAGTTTTTTAAAGTTCATCAAATCGTATTTTCTAATGGTAAAACTTGGCAACGATTTTATATATATTTTTAATAGTTCCGAGCACTCAAGGAAACTAGGTAGTTGATTTACATCATATAGATTACACATATGTTATAAAATCGGGTCTGCAAATATTTAATACTTATGTTGATTCTTAGGAAGGAAATATTTGGAACTCTGACAATATTTTCAACCCGCAGTAGTTTTTTGCAAACCTCTTATAAAAATTTATGTATGTGTGTTTTTGAAAAATAAATACTTAAAAATTAATATTCTGTAAGGTATAGCTCAATAAAACTTCATTTTATACTTTAATAAAACTATTTAAAAATGCTTTAATCTAGTTATACTTATCAATCGTAAAGTATAGTATAATCTAATTTTTATAATACATAAAATTTATTTAATTATTTAAATACGTATTATTATATAGTATCTAAGTATATAGTTATATAAGGTCATACTTATTATTTGATATTTTCATTAACGTTAGATTGATTTTCATTACATTTTGAATTTGTACTAAAATTAAAGATTTTTTTTATTTTGTTTTGTTAGGAGAATTAATGTTTATTTTTAAGCAACTTAAATAGTTTCAAAGAAACAATAATCTATATTATCCATAGTTAACTTAAATAACATAGACGTTTGTTGGTTTATACAGCTTCCAATAGTATTTATTCAGGATATAAGCAGCTGAGAAAACTGTGACGTCATTCCTTTTGATAAAATTGATCGATACATTCGCCTAGAAATATTTCGACAAATTAACTCTCTTGGTCTTCATTTCTCGATCACATTCTTCTGTCCAGACCTATTATTTATAGTTATTTGCTCTCCAATCATATTTAATTATCAACTAATATGGAATAAATTGTAATAAATTAATTTAAAAATTAAATTTAATATAACTGCACAAAATCTCTATTCGAAAATTTATATATAAAATGACTTTTTAGATTTAAAAGTTCGATTTATTATCTAAGTCGTATATATATATATATACTTTATATTTTATATTTTAATCAGAATTCGAAGTGTTCAAAATTCCCCTTTTCCAAGGAAAAGTTTAATTGATTTTGAAATGTTTATTTCAAAAATCACACCAGATATTTTATTAAAAAGATAAAAAAAACGAATGAAAGATGGTTTAGAAGAATCATTTTTAAAATATCTTAATATTTTTTTCATATGTTTCATAAATAGAAAAATATAGATGTTTAAATTAGTGTTTATAATTTTTCTTTAATGTAGAAAATAAATATTTTAAGAATTTTAGTTGTTTATTATTTAAGTTCTTAGATCTAATATTTATGTTTTATCGGTTTGAACTAATTTTGTATCATTTATAGAGATTTTTACATTTCACATATGTTATAAGCCAAATATATATTACTATACAATTTGTAGTAGAATATTACCCTATTATTGTCAATTCTATTTGCGATAATAGTTTAAAAATAAAATATAAACTAATAAAATATTCTATTATATTTTTATTGTATTTTAATTTTTGATGGTGACTTAATTTTTTAATTACCTAAGAATATGTTATCTAAATATATTATTTGAATTATAAATGATTAATTTTAAAACTTGAAATGATGTATTTTATCATATTTCAGAGCCTTGTAGATTGGAACCAACCAATGTTTTGGCAAGTCGGGTCATTAGGCCCTAAATATAAAGAATGGGTATTGGCTCCCGTTGATCGAAGGCTGAGATTATTTAGCTCCGATTTCATTGAGTCACTCACCATTACTTCTTGGTATATGGTACCATCAATTTGGATACCTGTTATGTTATACCTGATATTCATTGGTTACCAGAGGTTAAGAAGTACACTACCCAGCACGGTAGATCAAACATATTTCGGTAAGAATAACAAATTATCTTTTATATGCTTAGATGTTATCAACTTTTGAATCTTATAATAATTAATGATATACATAATATTAAGCAGAGTTTAAATAAGATTGCTTAATACTATGCAATATTTTTTGAATCAAAATTAGATTTTATTAATATTAATTGTTAACGAAATTAACCATGTAAATATAAACTATAAGAATGCAGAATTTATTATTGATTATCTATTATGATTATCTATTAATGAATATACACATTAGTTATAAATATAACTAATCTAAATTAAAATAATAAAATATTTAATTTTTATTTAATTTAATTTGAATGCTGAATTATTTATAAAATACTATAGAATAGGTTTAATTTAAAACCAATACTTATTTCATTATTATTTTTTACGTGTGTTTATTATATCATAAAAATAATTTCATCCATAAATCAGTAAACTTTATTTTATTTATTTGAGTCATCCTGTATCTTTTTGTACAAAGTAAGAATCGTACAAGTATATTAAGACTATAAAATATTTATTTTTATTTTTTAGTATTAATATTAAGTAAAATGTTTTAATTAACACTTGTTGGTTAAATTGGCGTGCCCATTAAAATATTGATTAAAAGAATATAATGCATTTTATGATTTTGATTATTCGTTATTTATTCATAATAAATAATAACCATATCATTTTTGCTTGCATTTTTAAGACCAGGATTTTTTTCAAAATACGTTTTTAAAAATCAGTTATAATTTGAGTAAAATCATACATTTGTGGATTGGAGTGCCAAAATGTTAAGTCATCCGAATGTTGATGTAGGCGAGACTGGGTGATTTTTAGGTCATGACGTCAAAGTAATATTCCACTCGTGAAACGACCTACTCAGTTAATAGTTAATAAAAAAAAATATATATATATATATATATAAAATTGATAATTGTGATTTTTTTCAAAATATATATTTTATTTAATTATAAAAACACTTAATTTTTAATGATTTTTTTTTTAATTTTATTTAAATAAAACATATTTATCATATAATGATTTTTCAAGTTTAGGTTGTAAAATATTTCTATCACTTCTTTAAAAACTCTTAATATACAATACCACAAAGGCATTTATCATTTATGAGACTTATGTAGAATTTAAGTATTTGATATTTTTAATTTTTTACCTGAATATATATAATATAACATTTCAAAATTGAAGTAATTCAGCTTGAATTTGAATTATTCGAATCACAAAAGTAAAATTTCTTAATTTAAAAAATTTTAAAATTCATAAGATTTCAGTGTTATCGCCAGTGTAGTTTTATATAAGCCCAAATATTTGAAATAAAGTGTAGGTATTTAAAATATATTTTGCGAAATAGTTTTTATTGCAGTCACGTATGTAGGACTTAAAAAAAAATGATTGTAATTAAATAATATTTTCACTAAAAATAATATATTAAAAATTAATTTTATTTTAAAATGTATAGTTATGATCATTTTGGATTTTTTTCATTAATAAAACATTTAAATGCATACATTTATGCTCTTAAAATTATCAAAATACAAATTAATTAAGCTTAAATTTTTTTCAACTGGGAATTTGGTAACAAAATGAATCTTTAATGTATCGTATTTTATGGCATTTAAGAAAAAGATCATTAAAATTTTATTTATGTTCACTGCTAAAAAAGTATATATAGCTTGAAAATATAGCGTAAAACTATAAAGATCTATAAAATGTTTCATAATACATAGTTATAAAAATTAGTGTACAATTAACAAAATACAATAAAATGTACAATTATGTAGAATAAATTTAAGAACACATTTTTCCTTAATTGTTGCAAATGTATAAAATGAAATTTGTATTTAAGTTAGTTTTACCATAGTAAATATTACATATTTTCCTAAAATCATTTTACAACCATTACATAAAATAATAATAAGAAAAATTGCAAATATAAGAAATCCCAAACCCTAAATGAATAATCTAACCAATAGTAGTATTTATTCGATTGATCTACGAGTATGTGTTAAAAAAATTTTAAATATATATATTACACTTCCTCGTGAACAGTGTGGCTGTGAGGCACGCATTTATTCGATGCTTGACGAATATGTTCGCATCTGTATCACAATCCATTGGAATATATAACTTCTAATTTGTGTCTTCAGAAGTGATATTACTACTTCCTAACACTTTTGAGTGTACCAGCAGGGTTATATTCTATTTATTATTTATTTGCATTATATAATTATTTTAAATATTTTAACTTAATACGAAGTACGACACTTACACAAATACACTCAGGCACCTTCGCATTCGGTAACCTTTGGACTATAGATAAGATAGCATAGAAATGCCATCTAATCAAACCACCAAAACCATATTTTCAATTAAAATAGTCTACGATAAAATTGTTAAATTAATTAATTATATTAATTTATCTAATAAGCGCACTTTATCTGAAGCACCACCACAATCATCTACAACAAAAAATATAAATAAATCAAAGAAATTGTTACATCAAACCATTACGCCGTTTTCACACCACGTGAATCCAAATCTGTGGCCATCAACGACAATGATACTGATGGGCTATCAGACTTGCAAAATCAAGCGCAAACATATACCATTAATGATGCACCAAAGGTTATCCTGCTTCCGCTTATATTTGTTCAATGTGTCCTTGGCTTCTTATAACTAAGAAATAGTTTAATTAATGACATAAACTTAGATAGTTTTATCTGTAAATCTACCTCAGATTATGTAAAAATACAATCAAATAACTCCAAAAATTACCGAAAATGAATTAATTTCCTAAAAGAAACACACCCTTGTTCTTTGCCGATCTTGATCTAGTAGGAAGCGTTAGCGATATCTTCATCACTTCCCTGCTTCATCAAACAACTTATCCAAAGAAGTCTCAACATCTCAAGTAGAAAAACACCTACCAAAACCATCCAACACCGCTACTAAATTTCAGCCTCACCATCAGCAACCAACTTCAGAACATCCGCCAAAACATCGTACGTATACAAATAAAGCTGGAGATCACCATCTTTCCAATAATAATTCAACTCCAACTTAAATTAATTGAAGAATTTAAATCGATCATATATGCCCTCTCATTTCTCTTCTCACCACTTTTATCTCAAGCATCATTACCAAAAAAAAATGTCAAATAATAATATAATTTCTAATTAATTTATTATCCTAACTTGGAACTCAAATGGTCTAACTAACTGCAAAGACGAGTTATTAGCTATTCTACAAAACAACAGAAGATATACTAATTTCCGACACTCATTTCACTCATTCGTCATATATGAACCTACCAGGCTTCAATACTTTTAAAACCAATCATACAGATGGCACAGCTCATATAGAGGCTGCCATTATAATAACAACTTCGTAACTATTCTATCCTTTACCACTATATCAAACAAATAATTTGCAAGCTTGTGATAAATCTTTAGTACTAAACAATATCCCCATAAATATTTACGCTGTATATAGCCCATCACATCACACTATCTCTTCAATTCAGTATGAATACATCTTTAGTACTCTTAGTCATACATATATTATAATTGGAGATGGCATAATTGTTAAAAATATACAATGAGGCTGCAGAACAAATATCCCCCGTGGAAATATCCGCTATCTAGATCTCTATCGAAACTAAAGATTAACCTGAGCTCATCATATCTACAATAAGCGAGATACTCTCAACAACAGATCCTGACAGCTGCAGCTCCTTCTAACTTCCAAACACATCAGTCTAAACGATAAAATAATCCTTTATAAACTTATCTTGAAACCAATATAGTCAAATGGTACATAACTCAGGAGTTCAGTGAAACCTTCAAATATAAATTCAAATATAAACAAATTGCAAACTTTCCCGTTTAAATGCTGCCGTCAAATTACAAAAGCTCTTCTCTATGTCTTTAACGATACACTTCATGACCTTTCCATACCAACAGTAAAATAAGTAGTCAAAACTCACTATAAACGCTTCCACTCTAATTTATTCAACCAACGCAATCCTCTTGTCTCAAACTTATATACACTAAACATCCCAGGTGATCCTAGAAGGCGTTTGAAATGCAAATGGTGTTGGGACCTTTTAAATGACCAAACACCGTCATGAAGTTCCATCGCTGGATAGATTCTTCTATCAAGACTACAACTCGACTACTACTCTTGCATCAATTATGCTTATTATAAAAATGCATGTTTAAAGATTCTATAGATAAATGTTAAATTCCAAAAAGAATTATATATATTGGAAAATATAAATGTTAACATTTAGTTTTCAAAATAAATTGATTAGTTTTAACCTGTATATAAAATATGAAAGAAAGTCCTTTTATTATATAACAATAAATAGCAATCGTTTTAAAATACGTTGGCTGTAAAGCAGTTTAACACGAAATTGTAAAACGTTCCAAGGACTAAAAAGAATAATATAGATCAGGTAAAAATGTCACTATTATACGCATTACGTACGCAATGATGGACCGATCAAACAATCATATTGTTACAAACTAGTTTATAATTATGTAAGGGTACCGATAGTAAATATGATAGTAACTAATTATAATAATCATTATGGTTTTAGATTACTAAAATTTTCGAAATCCGATTCCGTTTTGTTACGCTATGATAATGTACGTTATACATAATCGTCGCATTCCCACAAACCGTTTGATTATATTGACGCCTCAGTTCAAGACCGCAATAACTTAAATTATGATACTACTGGTTCTAGAATGAAATAAATGACCTCTAGAGGTGGATAATGCAACTAAAAGTTATTACATTATAGAATCGAAATCGTCGTAATTTTGCAAATAATATCACGTAGATAACTCAATTCTGAATATTTTTGAGTTATTGCTGTCTTGAACTGAGGCGACGATATTATTATTTATTTTGTTGTACGTAATACCGCGCAATGGTCGGTGGAGGGGATACGTTTTACGTGTGTAACGTTTCGTAATATTATCGTTGGCCGAGGCACTTGCCGACCGCAAAAGTTCCCGCGCCCGAAAACGTGTTTGAATTCGCTCAACAGGTTCGGCGGAGCTCCTCGTCCCGGCCCGTATAACTTTTACCTCGAACTTTGCATTTCGAGCGGTCTTTATCGACGGCGTTTTCCTCCTCATCGCTCAAGTACAAAAGCCGCGTTCGCACGTACGCGCACGCACACGCGCCCGAAAACACGCACAGACGTACTACAGACACACTCTGGCGAAAGCGGCACGAGAGCCGTGGCGCCATCGACGTCAATACGAACGGTTGCGCGTTTACGAGTCGCTTCCCCGCCGCAAACAACGACACCGCCGTCGCGGGGTGCCGGGAACTTCGGGAAGTGGCGTGCACGGCCGCCGTCACGCCCCTCGTTATTACGATACAGTGGATGTACGGTAATTTTCTCGGGCAGCGGCGACAGAGTTTATTGCGCGCTCGGCATCGGCGGGGGCTGGCGGCGTCTCGATGTGGCGCCTGTCGCCGGTCTGGCGGCTCGCGGCAGACGCCAAGTCGCCGGTTACATAGCACGCGCGATCCCCGCGGTCGCCCGTTCGTCATCGTGCCGGGATCGGAGTAGGTGGCGAGGGGGTGGGCGTCTCGCTCAACGGCGGCAGTATCGATCTCCACGCGCCGGTGGTGGCCGTCGTGTGCATGCCGCCGCCGCCGTCGTTCACTTGCTCGGTCGCGCGACCAAGGTGACGCCGCCGTCATTATAATACCTATTCGACGATCGAGTGTACATTTACCTACGCGCGCCCGTGTGTGTGTGTGTGCGTGGACTTTTACCGCGCGCCGTCTCCGTGCCCGTGGTGTAAAACCGCGTACACACATATGCCGCCACCCTGTGCGTCGTCCCCGTGTGTACGGCAGCGACGTTGTCCCTTCGTCTCCGCTTCAGCCGACCGGCGGCGGAACGATGACTCCCTGTTGAATTTTCACACGTTTACCCGCCGCGGGCCGATCGCGTTTCGCGCTCACACCTCTGTGCCGCCCCCCTCCCGCCCGCCCGCCCGCAATACGTAGACCGTTTTGATATCCCCTGCAGCCGACATCGATTATATTATTGAAATATTTATAATACGCGCGCGCGCCCGATCGGAAGTTTTTTTTCCTTTTAACTTTAATTATCTTCGCTCGGGTTGTTACAAATTATCGAGGGCTGTTCTTGCTATCTCTGTTCTCTCTCTCTCTCTCTCCCTAATATAATGATGACGGAATGGGGGGGATTCCTAGTCAAATTTTTCCAACCCTCTTGTACGTACGTGGCTGTCCCGCGTTTGTACGCGACATTATCCGTTAACGATTGGGGTGCGCGTGTGGTTCTCTTAAAAATAAGTATTTTTTTTTTTTTTACCGCCGTATTAACGTCAGATTTCAGACGTTTATATTTCATTTTTTTTTTGCTTTACAGAAACTATGATTTTCTTTATCGTGTTCTCTCGTCCGAAGTTTTCATATGGCTTACTGTTTTTTCAGTACACACATTTCAATCGTATCCCGTCCTTTGATATGAATATTTTCTCGTCGTAATGTTTATTACCTAGAGAGAATCAAATTTTTTACTCGGTTTTTAGATCCTTATTTCTCGTATCCTATTTTATTTTTGGACGTGTCTTTTATTTGTGAATTAATTTGTACATTCAAACATAGAAAACCAATTATTTTAAGTAGGGTTACTTGTTTATGGCAATTCTAGAATTAATGTGGACTAATTAAAATGTCATTTAATTGCAACTTGAAAATTTAATAAATTATTAATGACTCGACGTTATTATATCATGTCTTTGGAATTTCAAAAATCTATTTAACAGATCCATCAATCATTTAATGGATTTATGAAAGCTAAAGAGCTAATTCAGATCAATTTCTTTATTTGAAGCTAGAAATAAAATATGTAGATAATTTATATCCTATAAGTCATAGGCTATGACTAATGGATAAAGAAGAATATAGTAATAAAATTGTGACTTTGTATGTTTGTTGAATTCGCTTTTTTTAATGTAAATACATTTTTAATTACCTACTCGAGTTTTTCAAGTATTATACTGTTTAATCATTATATTAGTAGGGTTAAAATTATGATTTTTTTTTTTTACTGATTTTAAATTTTCTTCGTATTACTAATGACGATTTTATTTTTATGAAAGGGTTCTGTTTTTTTATCTTTTGAAAACCGATGAATAAATTGTGCAACTTGTAAAAGTGTTTAAATAATTAATATTTTTATTGATTCTGTAAAATACTAGTAAATTTTATATCAAGACATAT